AGTCTATCCATCAGTGTGCCCCAGGCCTACACACCTGAAGGAGACAGCGACTTTGCCTTTAAAGACCTCTTAGTTCTAGGTGGAGGAAAACAGGCACAGAAACCAATAGCTAAACACAAAGTCTTAATGTGTATCAAGTAACCAGAAGGGTAGAAAAAGTAAAATTAACTTGTTTGAAAGATTTGGGGGAAATTAAACTGAAGACAAGATATTGTAAATGGGTCTTTAAAATACGAGTAAATGAAGCGCCTCAGAGACAAGAATGGATGGGTAGCACAAAGAGAAGAAAGCACTCCATTCAGCAGAAAGCAGAAGAGGAAGACAGATACATGAATTAGATTCCACCTGAGCCCTGCAGGAAACCAGGTGAATAAGGGGAATGAGCACCTAGACAAAAAGTCAGGCTCTAAATAAACAAATCAAAAACAAAGCAGAAAAGGCAGTGGGTGCTAAAATGCCAGGTTTACCAGGGCAATCTTTGGAGCCCATGGAAAAAGGGACATGTGGCAGGATGGCAAGATGAACCACCTGTTGGGTAGCTATGGCAATATGGCTTCAGGAATGCTGAAGAAGGACAGGTCTGAGAAAGTTTGTTGTGTGTGTAGATAATAGAGAGTGCTGAAATATAAGGAGTGTGAGTCAGTGACTATCCTGGGTACCAAGTGACTCAACTGATGCCTCCTGCCACACTGGGGGATACATATAGGTTTGAGTAAGATGACATGCAGAGGGCTCAGGAAGCAAGGGGCCATCCAGGAGAAAGTGTCATCTCACTGGGCTGGCATGCCTAGAGACACACACCCACAGCTCAGAAAGGACAGCATAAAAATGGACAACCATTTATGGACTTAGTGCTATACCACTCTACAGGATCAGTGGTTCTCAACCTTCCTAATGCTAAGACCCTTTAATACAGACAGATCCTCGTGTTGTGGTGACCCCCCCCAATCATAAAAATTACTTTGGTTACTATTTCATAACTGTAATTTTCTACTGTTATAAATAGAATGTAAATATCTGAAATGTGACCCCTGTGAAAGTGTCATTCGACCCCCAAAGGGGTTGCGACCCACAGGTTGAGAACCACTGCTATAGATGATCCATTGTCATTACTAACTTCTTCAGTGGAGGCTACTGAGTGTGACGTGAGAAAGCTCTGGGCTTGTTAAAAGAATCCAAAGACATGGGGAAACACCTCAGAAGCATGGTCCTCTGTCAAAGAAGCCAGACTTGAATGAGGGTACTACACTTTCATTGACATGAAATTCTAGACGAGACAAACTGATACCCGGTCATAAAAAGCAGATCAGTATTTGCTTCTAAGGGAGTCCAGCCTTAAGGAGTCTTCTGGCATTACAGAAATTTTCGATGCATGTGTTGATTACATGAGTGTCTGTTAAAACTGATGGACTGGCTAGATATCTCAGGGGATCAGGCTGGCCACCAAACCTAAGAACCAGAGCTCCACTGATGGAAATCAACAGTGTGAAAGGGGAAAACCCAATCCTGCAATCCTGCAAGCTGTCCTCTGACCTCAACACATGTGTACGCCCATGTGGATACACACACAAAGAAATGTAATTGAAAGGGGTAGGGGGAACAATGGGACAGACAGAGACACAAAGACCGAGTTCAAAGCCAGCCTAGTTTACAAAGTGTGTTGGAACAATGGAATTTTCTGTGTATAAAATACACTTTACTGAAATAATGGTGGTACAAAGTTACATATGTTCTATAAACAAAGCCAAGAGGCTACACAAAAATCATGCCAGGATAGTAGGAATATAGGATATTTCTTGTTCATGCACTGGTCTTTAAATTATAAACTCTCAGATGCCAATTAACTAGCACTAAGCTATGTAAATGGAGAGATCATGATGATTTCTACTTTTTTTTTTTTTTTTTTAAAGAAGAAGGAAAGACTCTCCTCCACTAAGGACCATAGTGTCTGAAGATAAGAACACAAGATATGGTAAATACATCTGTGCAAGGTATGTGAGAGTCATGGTTCTATTCTGGGTAGATCTCTTGAAATTTGCCCAAACAAATAGATTTTCCATGAAGGGATGTGGGTCAGATAGGAAAAATCAAAAAACAAACAAACATGCTGCTTGCCTGTCAGGTGAGAAGGGTTAGCTTAGGAAGGGGCTATTGGGGCACTATATGAGAAGGCATCCAGAGTCAGTAGATGGTGGAGGTGAAGGAAACCACTAGATTCTCAAGGGCAAAAGCATAGGCTATAGAATTGCAGCATTCTGGGGTTTATGAATTGTCTTTCTCCCTCCATAATTCTTGGTGGAAGTAAGTTGGAAGACAGTTACTCTTTCTTAAGTTGCCTAAAGAGTGTCAGGTAGCAGGCCACCACTCCATGTATTTTCCTACTCCATTCAAACTCCACACCAATCCAGCAAAATACACAGACTTCAAATCACTAAAGTGGGAATTCTATGTACTCAAAAATGTTAAGTTACTCCTCACTGAGAGTGTATGAATGAAAACCTACACCACTAACCCAACATTAAACACCAATATAGCAGCAACTAACTGGTCGGGTCTCACTTAGCATTTGAGTGTGATGGACCTGTCCGGGGGATTTCTAATAGTATTTCTACTACACAGGTGTGACACAAGTGAGTGTGCATGTATGTGAGAGTATGTGTGCACACCCACCCACCATAGTCTCACTATGTAGCTCAGGCTGGCCTGCCACTCACTATGCTGGCCCAGGACCTGAAGTGATCCTCTTTTGTCTTGGCCTCCTGAGTATTGGGATTACAGGCACACACCATGACATAAACAGAAAGCTGCAGACTTCCCAGTAGGTATGGTTAACAGTAGTTAATACCACACATGGATACTTTACAATATTTTACCTCATGTGAGCCTCTTCAACATCCTTGGGGCACACACGTGTATACTGTCACTTTAGAGAGAACAAGACCGGGAAAGGAGAGATGTTACCTTACAAGCCCTGGGGCCACCCAGTCCCCAACTTAAGGATTCAAATATGGATGCCGTGACACCATGGTCCTTGTGTTAAGCTTTTTACTGCTTCAAATTTGAAAACTGAGGTTTGAGCTTTGATGTGTAAACTTTATCTTTTCCATTCTGGTCCACTATACAAATCTAGCTAAAGGCTTCAAGAACTTTCTTTCTAGCCAGCTTTATTGCACTTGTATAAAAGAACTCTCCTAGTCGCTGGCCAGACCAAACCTTTTCCCAAATGCCTTCTGCTGGTCCTTCAGCAAGTGCTGGACCTTGACAAGTCCATCTGATTCAGTAGATACCAGAAATGACAATTTCCCCAAGTCAAGCCTAGAGTGACAAAACAGTATGGACAGGCCACCCATAACACCCTGACACTCTGACAGTGGCAGGAAAGACACACCAGGCCTCATTCTCATTATCTCAGACAGCGAGGTGAGAGGACAAAGGAGGGCTGTTTCCTGACAGGCTCTGTGATGACTGAAGTACTACAGACCCGGGCTCCAGTTTACATTGCTCAATTGTGAAAAGCACTTCACCTTTCAAAGCAGAGGCAACGCGAGCTCAATGTCCCCGTCTGTCCTGTCCTGACTTTTCTTGGACAACAGAAACCTGAATGAAGTGGGCTCATCTCTACCTCCACGGTGTTCTGATGAACTCTGCAAACTCACGAGAGGCCCTCTTTTCTCATCTCCTGACTCTGTATCTATTACAGTGCTTAAGGCACAGAAAAACAAATTGAGCTGGCCATTGAGTAACCAAAATGGAGACAGCCAGATAAAATTAGACTGTGGGAGGCCTTCACAGTGTCTGAGATGAGGGCAGCCCATGCTGTGGTGTCTGTTCTGGTTCACAAGAGCTCTCCCATACCCAACTTCTGTGCTTTCATGTGTCTTAACATTGCTTTTCCACAAGGGGACTTCCCTTCTATACCTGATGGCTTACCTATGGTTGTGAATCTCAAGCTATGTAGGAATTGACCTCAGCTCCCACTGGGAGGTATAAAGAATAGGGAAGAGCATACTCTTGACCCTACATGCACTGGCCCTTGACCTTTACCATGGTTGGACCAGTATAGTTGTTGACAGATATTCCAGTCCAACAAATCAGATTGGCAGTGATTAAACTATGATCTGGTTCCCCAAGAAAAACAGGATTCTTTGAGAATTGAATGAACAAAATTTGCTTTAGCCCCAGCTGCTCCCTTTGAAGAACTTATGTTGTGCTTACTCTCCTCAACAGCCCATCAGCAAGCAAAGCTGAGGACCAGGCAAGTGCCCTTTGGCTAAACATTTCCAGATCTAGTTGAAGCTATATCATGAAGCCAATTCCTAGGCTGAGGGATCCCCCACAGATCAGGAGTTGGGGCGGACCTCTCACAGAGCACTGTAGCTGAGGTAGAAAGGGCAACAATATTATCTTTGTCCTTCAAATCTTAGGATCTCCAGAAGAGACAAGAACTCCAACAGCAAACAATAGGACTTACTATTGAGTGTTTTAGGCACATCACACTGTTCCTGGAGTTGGTAAATAACCCCCACCACAGCTCATCCTGACCACTTGAGGGGCATAGAGTATCCTTGTTCTGATGGGTGGCCCTAACAAGCAGCATCCTTTTAATTTGTACACACAGACACACACACACACACACCATCCTTTCTGTTCAACACTCTTTAATATAAAAAGTGGTTCAGAAAAATAAAAATGACATGATGTAATTATTCAGCAGGAATCCACACAATCACAGAACATCATTCTGCCCCTGTCTACTTGGTATGAAACCCGCTTTGGTCATCAGAAGCCTCAGTTAGCTTACTCAGACACCAGTGCCAGGAATTCTGTGAACTTGGGGTCACACTGCCAAGATTCAAAAGCAATGTTGATAGTAAGTGTTTGCACAGATACAAGAGGGAGAAATAACAGCCGCCAGCGTGTAATTCTGGCTACAGAGCAGGAGGGAACAGCAATTTGTCAATTGCAGTAAACTTTACCAAGGGAGGAAAATAAACTCTTACCTAGCTCTCCCCGGAGGTTGACAAGTTCTTGAGAGAGGGTTTTGTGTTGCTTCAATGCTTCCTCCCGCTGCGGGAAAACACACATCAAGTTACTCTTTTCAGTAAGGCACACATTTGTCATTGCAAGGAAGACCAGACCCAGAATCCAGAAGCCAAGATACGAATCACTTAAAGCTAATAGCTTGTGTCATTAAAAACAAAGCAAAACACAGATGTCCCTTTGCCCCAAAGGAAATTCGAAAAACTATTATTTTCCCAGGTCCTGGGGAAACTTCCCTTTGGGGACTGAATGGCTCATTTAGAAATCTTTGCTTTGTGCCCAGTGCTCACTGCAGATTCATAGACCCTTTCAGCTAATGCGTACTGTACTTAAGACGTAATGCATTCTTCCCCTCCAAGGGCAATAAGGGCCCAATCAGTTTAAGATAAATATTTAATGTTCTAAACATAGGCACTTATATGGACTTTGTCCCATACCCGCAAATAAAAAAGTTTTGTTACAAGGCCAATCCTATACTCTAAACAAGGGGGAAAAAGTTCTGTTCTGGAACAAACCAAATTTAATCTCTTAAAGATGAAATTAAATTGATTTTACCCAGCTACAAACCAGTTTCAAAGGATTACTACATCATGGAGCAACTACAGTTCTAAACAGATTTGACAGAAGTGAAGGCAAACAGGAAGCTCTTTCAGTGTTTTTAAGAGAAAAGGCAAACATCAATCAATCTTTCGATAAAAGAATGATTTTCGAGTTACCTGCAGGTCTGTAGCAATCACACATCCACACGTATTCAAACAAACACTATCATTAGAGACAGTTCAAGATATAGATTCCCTGGAACCAGGGTGGAACTTAGAAGTCAGGGGATTTCCGAGCTCTCTCTGAAAAAAAATGCCCTTCTTAGGATCACCTCAGATGTGGGGCTCCCGCATTGGGGACCACAGTAATGCAGATCATGAGACTGGCCTCTATGGGCCAGAGTTGCTTTTAAGGCTAAGCTCTTCCCCCTGGTTCCAGACAGGGTCTGTCCGCATTAGTCCCTGACACCCTTCCAGAAAAGCCCTGTAAACAAATACTAATTACCCTTGTTGCTGCACATGGAGGAGAGAGGCACATTTTGCTGCTGGGGCAGCCCATTTTCCAGCTTCGATTCTCCAACTCCCCCGCCCCTTGCACTGTCCGAGAAGTGCACAGGTGGCCCCGCCTCCCACCGGTCGGGTCTGCCCACATTCAAAGCTCAACCCGGAGGAGCGCCATTGGCCCTGGTGGCCTTCCCAGCGTGTCCTGCAGGTTACAGCCTCAAGACTCTCCTCTCTCCACAGAAGCTGATACTGCAGCTCCTGCCTCTGGCACAGGCAGCCCGCGATTACTTAAAGCCACAGCCCTTCATTTATGAGAAATGAGAGCCAGACATTATCCTGATCGATTGCCACTTACTTAATATCAGCTGGGGCGGAGGAAACAGAATCGGGACCCTCTCTGCAAGGGTAATGGAGTTATTTTTAGATGCCTGAGCCTTTTTACTCCCCTCTCTAATTGAGGTCATTAGATTATCACACTTACTAATAGAAAAGGGAAACCTGTTCTTCAAAACCCATATACTAAAGGCACGACGAACTAGGTGAAAGGGCAATCAGAGGGCCCTATTGTGATTTAGAATTTTAGATGACATTATAATAGAGTACTGTCCATTGATGTTTTAGATACAGGAAGTGCTGACCCTGGGAGTTGGAGATTGCACATATTTGATCACTTTTACTGTACAAGTCCCTCGGTATCTTTACATATGGATGGGTAACAATTACTACAATATTTTTTTCCACCAGCACATTCATGCATTAATGCTTGATGGAATCATAAAAGTTTTTAACAGTTTAAGTTGTGCTTATATGACCAAACAAAATTTCAGCAAAAATGTAAGTTTGAGGAAAACAGGATAACCCACAAATACGATGTTCTTCTCTTTTCTCCCCTTATTATAGGCTTCATACTTGCTTTCCCCTGCTCAAGCCTACCCAGTTCTGGGATTAGAGGAATGTGCCATCACACCCTGACTTCTCTAGTATTTCCAAGTCAAGCCTTAATTTTATTCACACACTTTTGGATAAATGGTAGGTTCAGTCACCAGAGTCAAAGAAAAGCAGAGGACATTGCTATTAGACATGCACAGTAACTGTGAAATTGTGAGCTTGCTCAAAAGTCCCCATTCCCACAGCAGCCAAGTTGCAAACAGAAGTGGGTGAAAGGCAAGAAAATTTTCTCTTCTCTCAAGTACATGAAAACTTAAAGGAAGAGCTCAAATCTAATGCTATAGATGCTTATCTTCAGAGAACTTTAGCAAAGTCCTGCACACTTCCACAAACATATGAGGGTGGTTACCTTATTAATGGATTTCACTACGTGTGTGGACATCTCTCCTAACTCCACTGTCCATACACCATCCTCAGACCTCTGCCAGTTCTAAACAGCAAGAGGACATCAAAGTCATTTGTCACTCTGCCTCAATGGCTAGAGGTGGAGGGTGGGGCGGAGGAGAAGCAGAGGGAGACAATCAGTCCACTCTTCCTACACAATGGGTTTCTTTCTAACCCTCTGGACTTTGCTTTTCCTGTCACCTCTGCTCTAGTCCTGGTTCATTAGAGCCTAGTACTGAACCATGGAAGGGATTTCTTTACCCCTTGAGGGCTATTATCCCATATTCTTTATGCATCTAAACTCCCTTCCTCCAAGGAGCCTCCTGTTGAGTGTATTATAAACACCACAAGTGTGTGTGTGTGTTCCCATGGACTGGAATTGCCTAGCTCCTGTCCACTGTCCCAAGCTCATCTATAGAAGTCAAAAGCTATTCCTCTACAACCTTCTAAATGCTACCCCTCTTTGGATGTCTGGCTTTCTTAACCTGACTCATACATGTTTTGGGACTGCTAGATGTCAGAAGCACCATCTCCTCCCCCCCACCAAATGCCCAGAAGAGACATTTATCTTTCTGAATTATGAGTTATTACTCAGTTATCAACTAAGTACATTTCTTATCATACACCATAATAATATGTAAGAAAATTAAGACATAGCTAGCTATTGCTTTCAAAGAGCTTAGAACTTAGGGGGCAAATATCCAGGACCAATTCTTTGATCATCAATCAAATCAGATGACATCATCTGAGGGGAAACAGCACAGGACCATGGAAAACCTAGGTGTTAAATATGATCAGCTCAAAATGCACACCATATAATTCATACTGTAACAAACATACTGTTACTTTCTGTACAATTCTCTGGGTTGCTTGCCCTTTAAATGTACTTATTATTTACTCCCAGATGATAAAATACATTCTGCCAGTTACAGACAGATCTTTTTTTTTTCTTCAGCTGCTTAGGTTAGTGTCTCTGTCACCGATGATCAACCATTTATAGTCCAGAGAAAAGATTTATTTGATTATCTTTAGACTATAATGTGCAGACCCCTCCCCCAATACACAATGAGACTGGGGAGCAAGGTGGGAATCCAAAGATGCGTTCATACTCATGCATTAAATATATAAAATTCTCTATGGAAAAAAAAATGGGATTCTCCATAATTTAATTAGGGTTGCTGGGATGCAAGCACTTAGTGGCTGGCTGGCGTCCACTAGTGTGGAGTGTCTGAACTCTGCTGGCTATTGTCCTCAACACAGGAAATTTTACAGGAAAGAGCTGCATCAGATAGTTTGGACGTGGCTATGTCTGATTTCCTCCATGCCATCCCCACAGTGCTTCTATCACCATGAACATTTTCTTTTTCCTTTCTTTAACTCTGAGACTCATAGTAGTCTGCTAGCTTAATTTTAAAACCTATCTCCTTTTATTTTTTATTTATTTTTATTTTTTTAAAGGTGCTAGCCTAGGTTAGCTTCTAACGTGCAAAAAACCTATTTGGTTATCTGGTCTTGTTTTATCTTACCAAGAAATTTGCCCAGAGACCCTTTAATGAAGACTCTGTGCTGGTTAACAGTCTCCAAATGTTTCAATAATGGATACAAAAAAATAAAGGGTTAAGGGAATTTTAATTGCTTAACTTCCCTTTCAGCTGTTTCTTAACAGTGTCTCCTACACATTAGGCAACCAGGGAACATTCACTGATTGATTATAAAACAAAGAAGGAGTGAAGAATATTTACATGGGGATTTTGTGTGCATCTGGGGTCCTATCCTCTCCCTTACCTTTGTCCACTCAGGTATGCTCTGTCTCCTACAATTCCTGGGGTGGTTTTACCAGAAAGAACTAGAGGAGACCCTGCTGTCAATGAACCTCTATCTAATAAAAGCAAAAAACAAGGGCTGGAGAAATGACTCAGTGGTTAGGGGCACTGGCTGCTCTTCCAGGGGACCCAGGCTCAATTCCTAGCAGCCTCAGAGCAGCTTACAACTGTCTGTAAATCCAGTTTCTAGGGAATCTGACGCCCTCTTCTGGCTACTGTGGGCACTGCTACTAAGTGATATACAGATGTATCAAACACATTAAAAAATATACACAAACAGCAGAAGCAAGCAGAGTGAGGATCTATCACATAGAAAAACAAACCAACAAACAAAAGGTGTAAGTTCCTGGAGTTCAGAGGGTGGGTAGAAGAAGGTAGAGCTAGAGGACCCGGGAGGGGGTACCTGAACTTGATTCAGCAGACACCACTGTTACACAGCATTCTACTGTGGTTCAAGATAGAAGTACCCCCCTACATCAACAAGCAGCGAAGGCTTGAGCACTCCACCATGCTGGTGCTGTTAAATAAGAGACTACAGGATCATGAGGATTTGAACTTCACCAATGGGCTATTCCAGAAATGAGCCCAGAGCTGAATAAGCTATTAGGAGGTGGAACCTGCAGCAGGGCTAAGTAATCATGAACAGGTACAAGAACTTAAAAAAGTAAAGTCCTTAAAACTCATTAAGAGCTTTTCATGTTGTGGATTAACAAAGCACCATTCAATAGGCAGCACCCAAGGCCATTTTAATCTGTGGCTCCATCTACTCTGTCCTCAATGAACAACTGATGAGCTGCATGGCTTGTGTTTAGAGACCAAGTTCAGCTGGGCCAAAAAGTCTCTTGTCAACATCACACTTGCATATTCCCTACGATGCTCCGGCCACAAGAGCCTGTTAGAGAGATGAAGACAGCTGAATAGCAGATTCCCACTTCCTTCAAATACAGTTCTGGACCTTTGCCCACAGAGAAGCAGTCAAAGCTGCCTTCTTTCCTCAATTAGCACTTGACTTTCACTGTACAATCAGTGTGTGTACACTGGGTACAGGTCATGGTGCAGTGACGCTTGCTCACTTAGGAAGGCCTGAACATGCAGGAGTCAGAGGAAAGCAGCAGTCGGGATCAACGCTGCCGGCTGTCTAGAGTCACCAAACCATGCTTTGGTTTTCTTTATTTGTAAATTCCCATTCATTATTGTTTAGGTGAGACATTTAAGTACTTACTAAGTGTCAGGTATTATTAACAAATATTAACCCCATCTTGATTTTCCTTCATCTCCCTAATACCCAGCTGAGCAGCTGGGCAGGAGGGTTACACAAAAAAGGGCAACAGTGTCAAATTATGAATTTCTATAGTCCAAGGTAATACAGCAGCAAAACCATTCCTAACAAATACGCATAACTGTATAATTTCCTAGCAGGCATACTTTTCTAAAATTTTAGCAGTTTTTTAAAACTCAGCTCAAACATATACAATCCCCATTTCAATGTAATCAATACAAAATGCCTAACATATTCCCATGCTCTTTGTCATTCTAAGTCTTTAAATATTACGTGTAGTTCACACCTATTGCTGGGCTCACAGTGGTCAATTCTCTTCTGAGAGTTCAGGCTACCACATCATATCATCTGCGGGCAGTGGAAAGCCATCAGGGATGGATGGGGTGCTCTGCAGAGGAGCAGGGTTAGCTAGCAGTGCTTGGGACAGACTGCAGAGACAAGGACGGAAACATAGAAGTGCTAACAGAACCCAGTGATCCTACAAGTCTACACAGGATGACCCTGGGAGGAAGGGCAACCTCATTTTCCAAAGCACTAACTAAATGGGAAAAAGTACTGCTGGCAATTATCTTTCCACTACTGTTTCCAAAGAAGAGACTCTGGAAGGGGAAAAAAAGGAAGAAGTGCTAAGAAAATATTTGCAGGCTCAGGAGATTTCTCAGTGGTTAGGAGTGCTTGCTGTAAAAAAGCAAGGGGATCCGGAGTTCAAATCCTCAATACCCATGTAAAACTCCAGGCATGGTAGTGTGTGCCTGTAACTTCAGCATTTGGGAGACAGAACAGATGGATCCTGGGAGTTCACTAGCCTGCCAGCCTGGCTGAACCCTCCAATAAGGTGGAGAGCAACAGAGGGCCAGACCACTCTTGCTTTTGCATGCATGGGTGTGGTGCCTGCACCCATTATGAACCCATATACCATACACAAAGACAAAAGGAGGAAGGGAAAGAGGGAAGGGATATAAGAGAACATTATTGTAATCCCCAAATCTAAAGACTGATACAAGTATGAAGTGAGTGATAAAAGTACAGCTTATATTCTGGAGATAGCTCAGCAGTAAAACACTGGCCTGATAAGCATAAAGCCTTGAATTTAATCTCTAGGACTCTCATTTTTAAAACGTCAGGCATGGTGGGTGGTGGTGTCACCTACCTTTAATCCCAGCACTCAAGGCAAAGGCAGGTAGATCTCTGTGAGTTTAAGTGAGTTCTGGGGCAGCCAGGGTTACAAAGAGAAACCCTGTCTAGAAATACACAACAACAATGAAAACCCAGGCTTTGTTTCAAGTGCTGGAGTGGTGGGGGACATGGAGACAAGCAGATCTCTAGGCCTACTTGCTAGCTAACAAGGCCAACTTGTCGAGTTTCACCCCAATAAGAAAGCCTGTCTCAAAGTAGATGACTCCTGGGGAATAAATGAGGTCACTCTCTAGTCTCTACTTGCATGCACAAACACACAAACACACAAACACACACACACACACACACACACACACACACACACACACACACACAGGCCTCTTCCTTCCCCACTCAAGAGGGTTTATATCCTTACCTCGGACAGGAGGTGCTGGATCACGACTGTTAATGCTTCAAACTTGGTATTGCCACAGGAAAGAAGCTGCTTGAGGTGCAGGATGAATCCACTTTGGCTTTCACATTTTGTCTTGTATTGAGCCAACTCAAGTGCTCTTTCAGAGGAGAGCACATCTGGAGCTGTCTGGGTCTGGATGCACAGGCTTCTGGGACTCTTCTGCCGGCCTTTTTCAACTGCAAGAGGAGGAAATGAAAGCACAAAGATGCTGGATGTTAAATTTTTATAATCACAGCCCCTGGGGTCAGCAAGAGCTAACTAGGCCACGTGAAGGCATCAGAACCATGCTCACACTGGCGAGTACACACGGAAGCAGACTGGAAACCACCCGGGACCAGGTGGTTGGAACTGATAAGCATAGCCAGTTGTTTTAATTCTGACTGAGTACTCATATGGAACTGGAGATTACGCATACGAATTTAGCAAACAGAAAGAAATTGGGGGCAAAACAATGATTAATGGTTTTGATTTTTAATACACCACTATTGTGTGTGTTTGCAAGGCCATGTACATGTGAACTGCAGGCACTTGAACACCACTATGCTCCTGTGGCAGTCAGAGGACAACTTCCCAGAGATGATTCTCTCTTACTGTGGGTGCCAGGATCAAACTCAGGCAAACAGGCTGGCACAGCGAGAATCTTTACCGGCTGAGCCACCTCTCCAACTTAGCATCATAGTTCTTTCATTTTCCAGTTATACTAGAGTGAAATCAACTAGATCAGGGTGAATGATCTTTTTGATGTGATATTGAATTCAGTTTGCTAGTATTTTATTGGAAACTATGCACCTATGGGGTGTGTGAGATAGACAGAGAGAGAGGAGAGAGCTAGCAAGAGAGAGAATCTGGTATCAGAGTAATTCAGTAAGTGATATAGGGAGACTGAAAAAATAAGAGTGGTAAAGGATTCATGATACAGGTGAAACAAAGTCCAAGACAATTTTACAGTAGGCACCACTAAATCACAGTATTCAACTGGTTTTGCATTTCAGAGAAGCAGCAAATACTAAAATTAGACAGCAGTATGTTTCAAATCAAGATATGATAAGCACCAAAGGGGGGAAAAAATCAACGTATTATACTTGAAATACTTTTCTTTCCTCTTACAGTTTCCTTTTTAAAAACTTGTTAGACTGAGCGTGGCGGTGCACACCTTTAATCCCAGCACTTGGGATGCAGAGTCAGGTGGCTCTCTGTGAGTTCCCCAGGGCAACCTGACCTATACAGGTGTTCTAGGCCACCTGGAGATACACAGCGAGACACTATCTCCAAATGAATGAGTAAATCTGTTTCTTTTTCGTTGCATGCAAAGTAATAGGTTTCATTATAGCATTTTCACAGATGATTCCTTTTAATTTTTAAAACTTTCTTCAGTTTTCTTGTTGATCCTCCTATTTTCCAAAAGCCCCCTTCCACTTTCCTGTTGCCAGGCCTCCTGTGCCCTTGCCACAAAGACCTCAGCTATTGCTTTCTGGTTGACTGTCTGGTCACTGCTGTAGTCTACACTGCAGACCTGTCACTATGCTAATAAACTAGCACATGCACTGAAGATCACGCTCCTCTGAGGTCACTGTATAGGGCATTGTATGCCTGAATACACAGCTTCATTTTATAGTAAGTGCAAATTTAATGTTCCCCAAGTAGTAACGGTGGGTGAAGAAAAAAAATATCTCAAGCACATCCTACTGGTCCAGATTCATCTAAAACACTACTTCAAGACTGTTCTCATCCCATGCTGGGCTCTGGGAAATACTTGTTGTAAGTGAAAATCTTTTTTAGGCTTGGAAGCATTCCTAACATAAAGTTGCTTTGGATAAAACAGGAAACAATACTGTTTAGTATCTGGAAATAAACAGTCCCAGCAATCAAAACAAATCCAAAAATGAAAAAAGGCATGTGAAACTAAAAAGAGTAAAATAAATGTTGCATTATTGTGACAAGCAGTCCCTATGGTGCCATCCCTCTTCTGGGGTGACAAACAAATTTGACAGAACATATTTAGCAGCAGGTTTTTCCTCTCATTTTTCAGGGAGTTACAAACTATCCTCCAGGAGTGCTGGGAAGAAAGAAATTAAGGAAATATCTGGATTGTGTTCCAAGAGCCAATGGTTCTTGGTTACACTCAGAATAGTATTTAGATATCAAGTTACACTCAAAATAATATTTAAGTATCAATAAGATAAAAGTGTCCTCATTTCATGTGGTTGCTTTTACATGGTAAAACAATTCCTAAAATTTGATAACCCTCAATTCTAAAATCCCTACTGTATCTTAATAGTACCTAGAGATGGGAAATATAACCACATTCTTTACTGGTTTTAGTTTCTAAGTTGCTTATCACTAATTGCCACTTTCCTAGATGAAGACAATATCCAGATTGATATTGCCATAATAAAACAGTACAGAAAAATAAGTTATGAATCACATACTATATTCATGACCAAAATCCAAACATTTAATAGCTTATCAACATTTTCTGTATTATCTATTTCTCAACATTTGTCTTTTACAGTTACCATCTTTGGGATGAAACACCATGATCCAAGCAACTTGGAGAGGAAACAGTTCCTTTCACTGATACTTTCATGTCCATTACTGGGTCAGGGCAGGAATCTGGAGGCCATGGGGCAGTGCTGCTTACTGGCTTACTCCTCATGGTTTGCTCTGGTTGCTTTCTTATACAACTCAGGACCACCACCCCAGGGATGCAAGCACCTACAATTGGCTGGGCCCTCCCTGATAGATCATCAATTAAGAAAATGCCCTACAGCCAAGTCTTCTGGAGACATTTTTTTCAACAGAGACTCTCTTCTCTCAGATGACTCTAACCTGTCAAGTTGACATAAAATTAGCTGGTACAATATTCTAAGAAATTGAATTTGCCATATACTAGCCAAGAACAATGGCAGGTTTTACTGTTCAGGGTGTGTGTCCTCTATTCTCCGCTCTGAGCCTCAATCTCTGTAGCCGGGTCTAGCTTCAAATAAATTCGTGGGCTCAAGTGGGTCTCTACCATGGCCGCCAGAGATGAGACTATGGGCAGGTGCCATGCAAGCTACTCCCCCCTCATTTTTTGATCTTTCTGATACCTTTTTTTCCCGGGGGGTGGGGAATTTCTTTGTGTAGCTTTGTAGACCAAGCTGGTCTGCAACTCACAGAAATCCACCTACCTCTCCTTCCCAAGTGCTGGGATTAGAGGTATGCCCCACCACCACCCAGCTCTGGTACCTCTTCTAATAGGGAAGGGAAGGCTAGTATAGGTGAAAGGGCTTCTCAGGTATAAACAGCCTCTCTGGGATAGATTCATTGAGAACTCAGGCCACCAATACAGTCTCAGTTATCCCCACCCACCCTGGAATTTAGATTGGATAGTAATTTGTTAAATACATAGGAACATGACACATGCAGTAAACTTCCCAGACAAAACTGTCAGATTATAATGACTGAGTTTGAGAGGTGGGGTTTGTATACCCATGTACATACTAACAGAGGCCAGAGCGGGACATCAGATATATCTCATTCTCAATCGCTCTTCACTTTATTTCCTTGAGACAGTATCTCTCACTCAACCTGGTGTGTGCTGGCTCAGCTAGGCTGGCTGGCCATCGAGCTCTTAGAATTTGCCTTTCCCTACTGCCTCACTGATGCTGGGTTATAGCCATGCCAGCTTCTTATCTGATTCCTGAGGGTTCAAATGCAATCCTCATACTTGCCCAGGAACACTCTCACCCACAGCACCATCTCCCGAGGCCCTATTTTTAGAGTTTAAAGTGACAGGGTAACTATTATCTACACAAATTTTAATATAAAATTAAGAAATAAAAGTATTTTCAAAAAAGGTTAAAATAAGTTGTGAGCACTTAGGTCCTTACTCAGCACTTAAGAGGAAGGAAAATACAGTCTACTCAGAACCTTTCCTAAAAGCAGTGTAGACCAGAATTCAAACTTAGGGTTTGTTAAGAATTGAACAAAATTGACAATCAAGGAGGAAATGACACATTGGCATTATCTGTCTAAGTACACACCCTGCACTGTGCAGGGTGCCCTATACCAGGGGCTGGATAAGCACACCGTGACCTCAATCTTTGTTCCACATACTATACTCCCTTAGGACAACAATCCTACATGGCAGCCAATGACCCAGTTCACACGTCCTTCCCTGTCCCCATTCCTGGTTTGACTGAGGATCGGAGAGGATGAAAAATCTCCAGTGATGCTCAAAGCCCAGAGCTCATATAAACGGATTGCTTCATCATATGAAAAGTCAAGGGCTTCCCCTGATCCCTGTGGGACTTATGGTTTACATGAAATTATCATAATATGATAAACTCAGCACAATATAAAGCAAAGGGTGGCCGTCTATCTTTCCCTGCCATTACATGTTTACCAGGATGAGGATGTTACTGTTTTAATAATGTGGCTGTATTTTAAAGAGATAAACTATTTTGCTTATTGTATCTATGTATCTATTAATAGAACATGATCTGGTTTCAATGAATCAGTTTAACCTGAAGCCCTAATATTATCAACAGAGTAGTATCAGTGCCACTTCTGATCCATATTATAATGGATTCAGTATGTATGGGAAAACACATGTGTACACACACCTGTACAAAGTGAGGGTCCTGGCAGGGACCTTTACTTGATGAGCCATCTTGCAGGCCTCCCAAAGTTTTAATCAAAAAGATCTGCTCACAATTCTACAAAAATCAGGAACAAGAATATTCACTATTAAATATGTTACTTCAAGTCTTAGCTATACCAATAAAACAATTAAAGGAGATCCTTCGCCATGAGGGAAATGCAAATCAAATGTACTTTGAGATTCTGTTCCTGTCAGAATGATTGAAGTTAAAAACACAAGTGACAGCTCATGCTAGTGAGGATATGGAGCAAGAGAAACATTCCTCCTTGGTTGATGGAGCTGTAAACTTGTACAGCCACTTTGGAAAGCAGCATGGCTGTTTTTCAGAAAGATGGAAATTGATCTACCTCAAAATACAGCTACACTACTCTCAGGCATATACCCAAAGGCTGCCAATGGTGAGACTGGGTTGCATTCAATTGAGTCATTGGCCAGAGAGGTCCCATAGGAATTCCCAAACAACACAGGCTATTGCTACCAACAAATGGCTGCTCTCTGAAAATCAACAGTGGGGCCCCATTGCCAAGGACA